AATTTTTATATTATTTAAATAATTTTTTATTAAGTTATGAATAAATAAAGAATTTCAAAAAGTTTTGTTATACACTGTATAATTGTAATTAATAAAAACTTGTTTATATTTTAAAAAATTAATATATTTTGTATTAATTAATTGCTTTTAATAAATATTGTCTTATTCAAAAATTTAATATCAAACTGAAATAAGTAATATTTTTTAAAAATCGATTAAAAAGATTTATAAATAAAAAGAAAGAGATAGAAACAAGTTTAAAAATATTTTTTAAGTTGTTTTAAAAATATATTAAATTTTTATTAATTAGAAAGTTAATTTTTAGATAAATATTTTTTTTGTATATAGTTAAAGAATTAGTAAATAAAGAATTTATTAAATAAAACTTTTTTATAATATTGTAGACACTAACAAAAAAAATAAAATTTTTTTCAATATTTAAATAAAAAAAATAATTAATTGTTTAATAATCAATAATTTATTTATCTTAAAAGTAAAACTAGAATAAAACTTTTTTATAATAAATATGTATATATATTTATTTTTCAATTTTTTTATAAAAATTTATCTATCTAAATTTAATTTTGAATTTTCAAATAAAACAAATATTATTAAAAGTAATTAGTTAATAATATAAACAAATTTTTATTGATCAAATTTATATATTTCAATAATATTATTGAATGTTGATTATTTATTTTTTATCATTCATTAAATTGAATTTATCTATTATTACTTGATTTTATAAGGCTAATAAGATTAAATAATTAAATTCATAAATAATATTTAAGTTAAAAAAAAAATTAAAATATTCTATTGAATTCATATTTTCAAAATTAAATTAAATTAAATTTATATTTTTTTTAATGTGACAATTAAAAAATATAATACTTTTTGTAGATATAAAAAAAATATCTTATGAAATTTATAGTTTTATTTTCTTAATTGATTGATATCACTTTATCGAATGTATAAATTACAAAATCATACTTTATGAATATTTCGATATTATTTTACAAAAATAGGATGGATATTTATAAATATACACACTTAATCAGACCAGATATAAGAAACCCAATTCGGTTCCAAAATTATTTATTCTGTTTTTCCTTTGTCTTTATGTCTGAAATGTTAGCAGTGACTCAGAACATGAACAATTAGTGCATACACAATTAATTTTTTAATCGGGTTTAAAGACTTAATGAAACCTTGAACTTTTTTTAGACGGGCATGTCTGTCAAAGTCGAGTGTCCCCGGTTGTCGCCGAATCCGTATCACAAGTAATATCGCATTTCTAGAATAAAAATTTTTTTACATGGAAAATATACACACACTTAGTTAAATACATGATTATTTAAGACTATGTTACATTGAGCGAGGAAAATTTAATCCTCAAAAAGAAAAAAAAAATTACTATACAATTAAACGAGGTAAACTTTTTTTTGCCCTTTGAAAGAAAGCACGATTTCAATTCAACCAGTTCCTTTCAAAAAATGATCAATGTCAGTCGAAGTTTGTTCCTTTCGTTTCACGAATCATGATGCGTCGATATATACCTCGATAAAACATTCATCTTCACTACCATGACTACCATAATCTTCCATTGCCGAACATTAAAACTTATCGTTTATTACGTCACGCGTCGTTATTTATTGTATCACACAGTAGTTGACTGTGGTGGCACGATAGTAATTGCATTTTTACCCGAGATAAAATTGAAAGGTCCTGAATTATTTGAATATTTTGATATCAAGAACACTGTATAGAGTAGAATTATTCCGGATAATGTTATTATTATCTTCCTTGTTTATTAATAATTTCACCAGAACTTAAAAAAAAAATCACTTACAAATAAGTATCACTGCGCCAATGGAAATAACCCCAACAAACAACCATGTTCCTTGTTTGGGTTTTTTTTTCTTCTTTAGTTCTTTGGTTTTTTCTCCTAACGGAGAACCTCTGAGAGGGGTTGATGGCGTATCTGGTGTATCTGGTGTATCTGGTGTGTTTGGTGTGACAGGAGAAACAGGGGATGTCGCATTATCCTGCAATTGAGTTGTTTTTTCTTGCGTGATGCTACCCTTTTGAGATTCTATATCGCCATTTTCGTGATGCGTTCGCTGTCGAATTATAGGAACGTACGTGTCTCTGGGTAGTTGTATTGCCCGAGTTGAACCATCCTCCGTTATTTTTTGGTTGTCTCTATCCTCGAGGTTTTCATATTCGCTTTTGTCTATGATCTCGTAACCTTCTTCCTCATTTTCCATATCGATCGATACAGAATTTTTATTATTATCTTCCAATACTTCGTTACCGCCCGCTCCCTCATCATTAACGTTCTCCAGGATTTCCTCAGCTTCATTATCGCAATTATTCAACAATGGGTCATCAGGATCTCCAGAAGCCAACCGAAATTCAGTTTGAAATATGGGCTCGGTGGAGCTAAGCGCGATTATCGAACCATGTGGCACCAGCATGGGATCGTTTTTAAGTTGCGGCGAAAAAAATTGTGGTTGAAATTGTGGCCTATTAACATAAGTGAAGGATGTGGATGAAGGTACTGAGGAATCATCATGACGGATCGGTCGTGCATCGTTATTTTCTATGTCGTAAGATAGATTTTGGGCAAATTGGTGTTGAGCAGCCGTTGAGGTCGATGGTTCGGGATTATTATACTGTCCATAGACATCTTGTTGAGAATTTAAGCTGTCACTGTTATTATATCTACCAAGTCTAAAAGTTGATGTGGGAATCTTTGGAACAGCGGAAGAGGTATAAGTACTATTCGGATCATAATTTTCACCGATATAAGGTATAAAATCATAGTCCAGACGAAATTCGTATTTAGAACTATCGTTTTGACTATCGGTTTCAGAGCCTCTGAGAGGGGAATCACTCCTATGTATTTGCGCGGTATAGCCAGATTGTATTGTGGGCCCAGATTCTAATTTCGGCGTTGAATGCCTTGATCGATTTTTATTTAAAAGTAGTCCCGGAGGAATCAACGAACTTGAATTATTTGACGATGTATTTCCTTCATTTGATGTTGAATTGTCGGGATCACTGGTATAAGAAGTTTGCGGTTGCATCCTGTTCGTCGGTCGGCGATAAAGATGTGATGAATATTGATGTTGTGGAAGTTGCACAAAAGTTGAAGTGGGTGAATCCGAAATCTCGGTGGTCATCTGTGATGAAGGAACAGTTTGTAAATCGACAAGTTGATTTTTCACCTCGTCCAAAGGTGACAGAGGCAAAGATTGTACTGCAGTTTGCGAACGATTTACGTTCGACAACGAACCGAGCCGACTTGGTGAGGTGATTATTTTTGGCAAGCTGGTTTTTGGTGTCATCACGGAAGTCGAGGGTGAGGAGGCTGTGGCAGTAGGTTCAAGCGGAGAAGTGTGAACAAGAGAGGTCTCTGTTGTTGACGATGATGAGGCAGCCGCTATTGCGGAGGGAGAAAATTCTTCTTTCGTTGCCACATATTCCAAGTATTCCACCGGACTCATGATTTGTATTTGCTGCGTTGGTTCTACAGTCACATCCTCTACCAAGTCTGTTTGATTCTGTGCCCAGCTGCCTCTACCTTGCCTGACACTTCTCAGGCTTCCTGTTGCGTTTTGCCTTTGTTCTTTGAAATTTTTCTTCGAGACCTCTCTGCTGGCCATCTCTTTAATAACGATATACAGATAGCAATTTCTTTGATTTCAGTGCGATTTTATTGTATCTTCGCTCTCGATCGCCAAATTATTATGGTCCGTTGAAATACGCGCTCATATCTGAAAGGGGAAATCATCGTAAATATGATGACTTCGCCGGTGATAACAATAATGACTTTCAATTCCAAAGTGAATAATTGGATTCATTACGGAAATTACCTTATATTTATTTTTAATACGTTTTTATTCGCTGTTAAAATGATTAAGGATTGCTTGAATTTCGATGAATTTATTTCAAGATTAGGTTTGAAACTTTCTTGAAAGAAATTTAAAGATTGTAGAACACTACAATTGAATTCCTTATAATTCACACTATGGCAATATGTTATGTTTATGGCCAAAATGCTTCACAAATCTCTTCCAACAAAAAAAGAAAAAAAGAATGGCTTAGTGTATTCAAGAATATAGAGATAGAGGTAGGATACGTGTAAGAACAAAATAAATTATTATAGGATGTACATGAGGTAAGGCAACGGTTTTTGTGAAAAGCAAAGCACGTATTGGTTATAAATAAAAGAGATTTTTTAATCGTAATAAAATTGATATGTGAAATATAATTGAAATGTGATAAGAAGAATAAATATGCACTGTTTATTTGTCGTAAATACGCACCAACGAGTCGATGTAGTACGTGCGTACATACGTGCATGCTTTTGCAAAATTCGAAAAATTTATTAGAAATTTCTGGCCACGAGTACTATGCCTTTTCCTTGTTATAGCATTCTATAACTGACACCTGGTTTTTTAAATAGCGTAAACTTCAGATATTGCTAAAAGCTAAATTTAAATCTGTTTTCATAACACTATAGTCTGAGAAATTCTTTTTACGGAAAACACGGTGTTTCTTTCATGGACCATTATGATTTCTTTCCAATTAAGTTTATTGTGCAGAATGGGGAAATACCCTTGACAGCTACACATGTTGTTGAGAGCTTCCCAGAATTTCACGCCGGGAACCTCGGCGACAATTTTTTACGATTTTTCCAATGATATCTCTTCCCGCTGTGTCAATCACGGAATTCGGTATTTCCGGACAAACCCAATGATAATTGCGTAGTGTAGCACTCATTGTCTGATTTCTAATTACTGATTTATACACCAGATCACCAATTAATGGCATGCTTATTTGGATGGGCTTGGCCTTCTCTTTTAGTATGATGATAACGTCACACCGACTCACCAATTTAAGCAACACAATTTTTTTTTAATTCCGCAATTTTAATTCACGGTGGTGGACATTACAGAATGTCTTGGATAACATCAATGATGGATATTGAGCCAATCAACTATATAACTGATTAAACCAATTACCCGGACCCTTGGCAAGCAGTCTTGTAGGTTACTTCGTATTTTCTGTTTTCCATAAAGAATTAAAGCGAATTTGACCCTTTGTTTCATAATATACCACGTTAATTAAATTTGAAATTATTTGTGGTTTCGTCGTAGGAATTCACTAAAAGTTTTCTGTATTCAAATATATTGACGGTTTCGGGATGTTTCGTTATAGATGTTTGACGAATAAATTAATTTTACCTGTATCATAGTAATCTTGCAAACCTAAAGAATTTCTAATACGCGTGACACATCAATGCATGAACTAGTTTATATATGCGATTATAATGTACTATATGCGATTATAATGTACTATATGCATTAAAAACTCCTGCTTTGTTTCATATTTAGGACCGAAATATGGCCATTCGCTCTTTCTTTTTATTGTCTGAACTTTCACCACTTCTTCAAAAATAGGCAAATGCATCATTTCAAAATAAGAGACCGCATACATTTTTTCTGACAGAAAACTTTATCGACGAAAAAGCCAATATATAGAGACTTTAATGTTTCAAACTTGTTTCATGATACAACGAATGACTTTGTGTAGTACGAACTTAAACGCGTAGTCGCGACGCGCGCAAATTGAAAAAAAGTACAAAGTCTGTATCAAATGTTTCTGGAATTTAATTTCGATTGATATTTTTGTGTTGTAATGCAATGTGTCGTATAGATTACACCGTAAGGAAATTTTTTTTTTTTTGCAAAATGTGCACTCTTGCCAAAAAGAACTCGGATTAACAATAATAATAATTTCTATCGTTATTTGAAAAAAGAAAAGAAATTTTCAGCATTTATAGTAGATTTGGCAACTCAGGGAACAAACTAACTGTTTGGAAAGTTTAATATCAATGTGAAAAAAAAAAAATACCTGCTTAAAGTCTTTTATCAGTTCGGAGCATGATGAAGAAACGTCCATGCCGTGTCTAATCAAGGTGACACGGAATTCCCTCTGTATTAGGTATATTATTACACCCTGGTATTAAGTTATTTACTCTTGATATTATACTGCATGTGTCGTAACACAAGATGTTATTTTGTTGCACTATCAAAATGTTAATAGTAATTATTTCACTCGCAATCAGGCATCTAAAGGTTTTTAAATCATTAATTATATAGTTAAAAATTATAAAAATTATATATATTATATCTTAATACTTATTCT